GTAAGGGTGCAAATTTCCAATGATGAATGTCATTATATTGTATACCTAAAATGTACCAATAAAATACAATTATAAAAAAACTTAGTGTGAGAGCTTAAACATCTAAATAAATAATGAAATCCATTTATCATTGAGGGAAAAAAAAAGAAGCTTCCATTGTTTATGAAAAGATGGGGAAAATAATTTATTCTTTAGTCTTGGTCTCAAGGTCCATGGCATAGACCTGAGAAAAGTTTCCTTTTATTGTAGGTTACCTTTTCCATAATTAGGAAGAGTTTGGAGGTCATGCATTCTGTCAGTCTTAGTTTGATGACAATCACTCAATTAGGTGTTTTTGAGCCACCAGGCTCCTCACAGCAGCCTTCACAACTTTGTTCCTTAGGCTGTAGATGATGGGGTTCAGCATGGGGGTCACCACCCCATAGAAGAGGGAGATGAGCTTGTCTGCAAGGTCCTGCTTGTCTGGCCCCCGTGGGTCCTTGGACTTGGGCTTCCCATACATGAAGAGGATGGTCCTGTAGAAGACGGCCACAACTGTAAGGTGGGCAGAGCAGGTGGAGAAGGCCTTTTTCCTGCCCTCAGCTGAGGGAATCCTCAGAATGGTGGCAAGAATGAAGACATAGGAGAAAGAGATGAACAGAACTGGGACTCCTAAATAGATCACATTTGTCACTCCCATGCTGATCACATTAATGGAGATATCAGCACAGGCCAACTTCAGGATAGCCAGGATCTCACAGGTAAAGTGGTTGATGACATTGTCCCCACAGAATGGCAGCCTCATAGCAAGAGATGTTTGAACCATGGAGGCAGCACCTCCAGCTGCCCAAGAGCTGACAGCCATGGGTACATAAGCAGCCTTGCTCATGACCACAGGGTACCTAAGGGGATTGCAGATGGCCATGTAGCGATCAAATGTCATCATGCTCAGCAGCACACACTCCGTGGCTCCCATGGCAAAGGACAGAAACATCTGCCCAAAGCAGGCTGAAAAGGAGATGGTTTTTTTGGGCGTAAGAAAGCTGTCAAGAATGAGGGGGACTGAGGAAGTCGTGTAGCAGATGTCCAGGAAGGAGAGGTTCCCCAGGAAGAAGTACATGGGTGTGTGGAGGTGGGAGTCAAGGATGGTCACCAAGATGAGGACCCCATTGCCCAGCAGGATCACCAGGTACATTGACAGGATGAGGACAAAGAACGTTTTCTCCAGTTTTGGGTGGGCCGAGAGGCCCAGGAGAATGAACCCAAGTACAGAGGAAGTCTCATTGAATCTATCCACGGTGCTTCAGTTCTGAAACCCTCAGGAACTTGGAAGTCAGGCTCCATATTCTCTCACTCCAAAAGTGCCTAGGCAGCCAGACAGAAAATCTTGCTCTGCTGAACCACTAGAGAGTAGACTCAACAATGCATTCATCTCTATGGTGTTCCAGAAACAATAGAGATCCATGTTTAGCTTGGATGTCCAGTGAGAACCAACAAGTTAATTTATAGTAACCTTTTTGCAGATGGTAATTAGAAAAGCTGGGCAAAATATATAAGACATCTGTGTGAAGCATTGGAGCAGTAATAAGGCAGTGAGGCATCCTAGGGTCATGATTCTGGGAAAAACAGACCTGGCGAAGGCAGTCAGACACTTGAGGCTGTGTTTCAACTGCAGCACATCCATGTGTTGGAAGAGGCCACAGCAAGACCACAAAGGTCCACTAACAGCCTCATGGGGATGAGGAGCAGGTTCTGAGGCCCAAGGTTTGCCATGCTGGGCCTCTACCTAAACTTCCTCCCTTTGGGATGAGACTGAAAGGACAGCACCACAGGAATAAGGGCAAACCAGAAGGATAAAGACAATTTTGAGTGCTGTACTTCAAGCCTTGAAGTTGGACTAAGGTGGTCCCAGTTTTCAGTGACCCCATATACCTAACAGAAGCAAACACAAGTCCACTCTGAAGAAAGGTAATATCACCCCATTAACTAAATCATTTCTGCAAATAATTTTGCAAATACAACTGCTGGCAAAAAAGAATAAGGCATACAAGGAAACAACATAAATAAAAACAAACAGAAAATAAAGTATCCCTTTCCTTGGTGTGCTGAGAACCAGGAGAACAGCTCTGGGTGACACCTATTCTGACAATCTTCCCAGACCACCTTGATACTACAATGAGAAGGTCTTAGTAGCCTGTTGATCCTTTGGTACCCTCAGAGATGTGAAGGGATTTTTTTGTACACTATGGCCAAGTTATATGAGCGTTCTGACGGAATCTTCTCTCATCTTCATTCTTGGTCTGCCTGCAGTAGAGGCTATTCTTTGTTCAGAAAGTCCTGGTCCTGCCCTGATAGATCTTTTTCTGGGAAGTTTAAGCCTTTTCTTGGAATTCTAAATTGTCTCAAAACTAGGATTTTTTTCCTGGGGCAATAAAAAATTTGCTTGCTACTTTGAAGGATCTGGGCATTTGGGTTGTTTGTTTGTTTTGGATTTTTGAGACAGGGACTTGCTTTGTAGTTCAGGCTAGCCTTGAAATCACTATGTAGTGATGTAGTATGGCCTCAAACTCACGATGATCCTTTTGCCTCAACCTTCTGAGTGCTGGGATTACAGGCATGGGCCACCATGCTCTTCTGGGGATTTGGTTTTATTTGCACTCTATCTAAAATATTTTTATTTGAGCTTCCCAGATAGTTATCTCTCCAAGGTCTGTCAGTGTTCCACCCTCTTCCTCAATTATTACAGGGACACTTCATGTCTGGGAAGATGTGAAACACTCCTCTGTTGTTGTGTTATTTAGCACATAACAGCTGTGACCAAGTCAGTGCCTTAAAAATTCAGTCCAAGTTAACAGATGTTTATTGGGCATCTACTACTATGGCAGGCATGCTTTTGTTGCTGGAAACACAGCAACAAAAGGCACAGCCTCTGGACTCAATAAGCACAAAATCTAATGGGGAAGTAGACTGTAAACAAATAATTACAACATCAGCATCATTAATGTGACTATCAACCAAATAGTCACCCTAATTCTCACAACAGGCCTTGGGTCTCTTTAGCAATCTGCTCCTTTGCCCACTATAAGCTCCTTGCTTGATAGGTCTGGAGTGTAGGTTTGACTGTCTGAGTGATATTGGGCTCTTTATCTCCCCGAGAGGCTCAATTCATTTTGAAGTGGTTATCCTTTGCTATTGAGCTGGAATCTGCCTCCTAGCAATTTTTACCTGGGCCTGTCCTCTGCAGGCCCCCGAAGGCAGTTAATCCTTCTTCTACACAGTAGCCCTCCAAATATAGAGGAATAGTTTGACTTCAGTATGAAGACACGCAAGAATCAGTCTCCTTTTTCCCCTAGGGCCTTAAAAATAGACACATCTCTTAGAGGCAAATGTATTACTCAGGAATTGACTACAAAGGTTGATACTGAGAATGGTCCCCAAGTTTGAAGATGGCCTGGGTGTCCAGGATAGACTACCCCTGTGATGTATGGGCAGGGACAGTAAACAGTCCCAATCTGGGTTCTATGTTGGCCAGCTCTCGTGCCTCTCCCAGGAACTGGGTCATATGAAGAAAATGTTCCCTCCATGCCCTCCACCAGGTCTAGAGACATGACTCATTAGTATTGTCAGACTCTGGATTCATGCAGTAAGAGCCTAATAATTTTAATCAAAAAGGAACTGCTGATTGTGAGGAAGAGGCTACTAGCTGTGGGGTCCCTGGCGGAACTTTTTCCTGTGTTGAGTGATGGGATGAGGCCAAGTGATGTTAGAGATCCTTGAAGATTGATGGGCCTTTTTGATTCTGTGAGAACAATGGTATCTCTGTGAAAGCTCTTTATCTTTCCTCTCCTCGAGCCCCCATTCCATCACCATCAAGGCTGATGAGAGAAATGTTTCTGTGCTAATGAAAATTTTGGTATTGCTTTTATCAAAACTTCTACTTACCTTTTTCAGAAGCATGGTGAGCAAGGGTTATCCATTTCCCAAGGATTAGAAAGAGGCTGCACGTCAGAAACAGCAACACTCGGTCTGAATTGCCAGAATGAGGGCTTGGGTGGTGTGAGAGGTGAAGTGTCGGCCAGCCTCCCACTCCACCTGTCTCCCGTGCTTGGGGCATTATCTCTAAAGGACTGGCCATCACCCTGAGAAGTCAATTTAAATTCCAGTTTGTTCTTTGGGGCCATTTAGTCCCTGAAGTCATTTAAAGTTTAGAAGGTGAGTTGTACTCAGTATAGAACTTTGTATCCTTCTGGGATGACATCCCCAAGATCTAATTATGCTGAAGGCACTGGAGGAAATTTGCTGTCTATTTCTTCTTTTCCTCCTTTTCTCTCTTCCTCTTTTCCTTTCTTTCTTCCTACCTTCCCCTCACCCTTCCTCCTTTTCTTCTTCCTTCCTCCTTTTCTTGTCTCCATTCTTTCTCTCTGAACATTATAATCTCATCAACAGAGTCCAACAATGACCATGTTGGTCAATGAATATGAGATTCATTCAGACGCCCCAAGTTTTTTGCTGCATCCAGGCCCAGGTCTGTGTTTATTCAGTGGCCATGGGGCAGTGTGAATGAAAGAATAATACCTTCTAAATTTCTATGCTGTTGGATTAGGTGCCTTGCAGCAACCTGCTGTGCTCTTTCTCCTTTGATCCTTCAATCCTTACTGGCACCCAACTCCGTGACGTTCAGCTTACTATCATCTGTTCATGTGCTCCTTGACCTTGGGAGAGTCACTGACAAGAGTGTGACCTAGAACAAGGATGGGCCCATTTTCTGGGCACGGGTTCATTGAGTGTGTATTGAAAAGAAAGCAGAGAGGTGCAGAGGAACCCACTTCTCTACTTGCAGGGAGTCTGCCTTCTAGTGGCAAGAGAGAGGCATATGAAAAAAAAGTTACCAACCAAAGAGAATAGCCCACTGTGGTGTAAGCCCAGAGGCAGCAGAGGCCACAGTCCTGGTGTGGGGAGCAGGCTCTCCTCACCAGTTCACCTACAATGCCGTCTCCCAACTCCATGCTTACAGAATTTCCAAGGGATAGCTAGAGTTTGATTGTTCAGGACAAAGCCTTGTGTGTCAGAAATCTCCTTATTCCGTGTGTGAGTGCTTATGCTTGTGTAAATATGATTTGCCAAAGGACAAGTGGAGCTGACCACAAGGGTAGCCTGACCCGAGTAACCTCAGGATTTCTTGGGGACACGGATGTGTCTACTATGGTTTCCTGAAGGGCAAATGTGGATATCACACCCCTCAGAATTCATACACCTTCTATGGGATCCATGGTGTAAAGATCCCAGGTTTCTACCCTGCCAAAGGACTTAGTCTGTCAGGAATCTTGAGAAGCGCACATCCTCTGTGAAAGAAGAAAGAACTATCACCATTTTGAGAGAAAACAAGAGCTAGAATGAGGTACTGTAAGTCCAGAGGAATAGAACCTCCCTGAAGAGTGAAACAGGAAGATAGGGGAGGACAGTTGACCCCAGGAGAGGTGAGGGACTCCTTGTGGTGGAGAGACCACTCCTTCAGGCCAGCATCAAGTAGAGGAATGAGTGTGTAGCATCAGGTGTATGAATGCTTGGTTATTAAACAATATTTGCCTGATTTGCAGCTTCCATTCTAGGAAGCTTCATTTACCTGATAACACCCATATTCTCCTTCTGAGAAGGTTCCTTAGATTGTTTCTGTGCTCTGTATCATGAGTGGCAGAAGGAAGAAGCAGATGACACAAAGATGGAAGGCAGGGAGGTTATCTATGGTAGCTGAAGCTGGGGGATAGGTAAGAGAGGAAAGGGTAGTTAGTCCCATCTCCAGCAAGAGGAGCAAGGCCAGAGTGGTTGAGTCTCCAAGTGGCAGGCTCCTAAAGCTGGGACATATCAAGACCTGCCACAGAGGGGCCAACAGGAGTCACTTTGATTCTGACTGACATTGCAAAACCTGTCCAACCATGAGGCCCAACTGCACCACTGCTCTCCCATGAACCTCACAACAACACTCCCCAACCTTTTAGGAAACAAAGTGTGATAGAGCTGGAGGCTCCTGGCATCCAGAGGGCAGAGGTCAAAGGTGGTAGATGTCATGAATTCAAGGCTATAGCCCAATGTAGGAAGGTTCCTCCACCTGCTCACAATCCAAGTATCCTTCTCCTACTAGGCTCTGTTTTGCTCATGCCAATTCTGACACCAAATGTGTGAGGTTTTTTCCTACACGTAAAGCAATATTGCAGCTCTCCATACACCAACTGAGTTATCCCACTACTTAATTTTGACACTACTTGGAATTAATGTAGATCAAACAAATTAAGGGCTTGGCCCCATAAGACTGTCTCCCCTTCAGATGCCAGTCACAAGTCAGGACCACCCATATGTCTACAAACCAGCTATAAAAGCAGGGTGTTCCTATTCTAGACAGCTAAGTTAATTACAAATATTACAGGCAGTTAGACAGGGCCAGGCCCTCAGCACAGAAAGCAATTATGGCTGGAGGCACATTCACTGAAGCCCAAGCATCAAGAAACAGAGGACCAACTGCACTCACATACTTCCTGTAGGGATAAAGAGCAGTGACTGATACTCTAAATAGACATCAGTCACCTTGGTGGGGACCAGAACCTCCCTAGCCCATTCCTTCCTGGATTTTTCATTTCAAGAGCTTGCTACAGGACTTGTTTCCCCATTTAATCAATATTACCTAGGCAG